TTTTCCCCTTTGCTCTGGTGCTTGTCACTCTTTATTACTCTGGATATCTCCGCTCAAGCCTATGCGGATGGTGTGATCTGTCTAGTCATGGGTCCATCTCTGCCGGCTGTTTGCAGGAAAGGCGCAGACAATACTGAGTANAGAGTGTTTAGTTTGAACTCATAGGTCCATCTGTTTTGATCTTTTGGCTTTCCTCTCTCGCGCCTTTTTAAAATATTTACCTAATATTTTCTTTTCGCTTCCAGGTTGCGTGGCTGCGTGTAGATACTCAAACAATTTTAACAATACAAAACCATGTTATCACAAAAAATCAACGTATCGGCATAACGAATTCCGAACATAAAACGTGGACAATGAAAATCAAAGATATCAAAGAAAGCGATAAAGGCTGGTATATGTGTCAAATAAATACAGATCCAATGAAAAGTCAAATGGGCTATCTGGATGTGGTAGGTAAGTGTTGGAATAACTAATTGAAAATGAAAATATAAAATTTGAAATATTGTTTTTTTGTAAACCGTGCAGTAAGAAGAGAAAGTCTGAGTAGATTATTGAAACTTGTTTTCAAATAATGGTTTATTGGGCAATAGATAATAAAAAAAACCGTTGGAAAGTCCTCTTTACGCATATTTGTAATGAAATTATAACGTCCCCAATTTCCATACCCTCAAGAATTTGTTTACCAAAAAAAAATATTGCATAGTACGTTTATAGGGCAGTTCTGGCTAAGATTTACTATCTTTCGTATTTCGTAAGACAAATGAAAGACAGAAAGACTTTTGTTATTCTAGTACAAAAGTCTTAAAAAAGCAGAGACAAGGACGCTTTCTAGTTTTGGTTTAGTTCTGCACGAGAACAAAATGCAATGTCAAGAACGTTCGGGAACGTTTCCGTAAAGAACAAAATGCTTATAAAACTCTCGACAACGATCCCAAGAAGAACAGAATGAAAACAAAATGAGAACGAAATATCGAGAACGTTTTCAATGAGAATCAAATAAGAAGAAAAGTCTGGGGAACTTTCTGATAGAGAACAAAACG